GCCTTGACGACGATCGCCCCGGGTGCGATAACCATGGTCACGCTAACGACCGAATTGGTAGAGTTCACCTCGTCAAGGCTGCGTTTCGACCTGACTCTGGACGACGGTCTCGTCCGGTCCACTGATTTGGAAGTCTGCCATGAGGGCATCAGTCACCTCGGCAAAAACTACCCCTGTTCCTCACCCGACCAATGGAGCAAACACGGAGAAGGGTCAGAAAGAATTCTTAATTATTCCCTACGGAGTCAGATGTAGTGAAGGCGCTATCCTCGCCCTGGAATTTGCATTCACGGTATTATTCATCCTCCTCGCAGTGAAAACCTCCTCGGACAATACAACCTCGGTCTAGTCTGCAATTCGTTCATCGAACGATCCAAACAGGAAGAAAATTACGTGAGTCCCCCAGAATTGGATGTTCTGGTGTTTCCCGTTACCGTAGAAGCCCCTATCCGAATTAATCCTTCGAATCCCTCTAGAGCTGGACATGGTTCGTAAGAAGCTCCTACTTCACTTTACAGCTGCGATTCACGGTTCCAATACTGCTGAAGCCCGGCGCAAAATACACTGATGGCACCCCACTGGCCATCAGCTCTCAGCTCGTGACCAGTGCTGGGAAAGATCAGAAGAATTTGAAGCTGACAGTCAGCGAGAAGGCTGAGCAAACCATCGGAACGGTAAGTCATGGCTTCCTTCGAAAATTCTTCCGAATTCCACACCCTCAGATTGCCATCGAACGCATACGGAACTTAACCGATGTCAAATGCAGTTCTTCGAGCCATCGGTCAAGCAGACGAAGAGCGATGAGGAGAGCATAGGAATTCGTCAGAGGCGATGGATATCCTTCAACATCACCGTTCCGAAAGGCGCAATGACGGAAGTGTCCGTCAAAGTGCAGGGCGCTAGATCCGACAAGGTACAGACCGACACGACAAATACGGAATATGGACGAAAATCGACGAAGGTCTTGGACATTTTCGAAACCACCAACGCGGAGTAATAGATTCCGAGAGGCTTCGCTAAGTAAGAGCGCTCCCGCTTCAGGTTGCAATCATTGTGCTCCACGATCTGCGCATATCGGCCGTCGGACGCAACATTCCATGTTATCGAGACAAAAAACTCCAAGTCACCCTGGGCTCATCGTTTGGAAACGTTCAACATGACAAGGCCTCAGCCCCCCTAGGATATTTCGCGAACCCCGGTACGTACGCGCCGAATCCCTTATGGGTCCGCAGCTTGGACGAAAATATTGTTTCCCTCGCGAGTTCGAGGCTGGCGACTGCTCGTTGTCTATTGCGTGGATTCAACAGTCCATGTGGGATGTTCTCGCAACTTCGAGCTCTTTTCCAGGTTACAGTCATGTGCGAGGACGCTTCCAACAAGGAGACGATGATATTGTCCTCGAGGCTTTGGTGGAAATGACGGATCACGAAACAACTGACGATGGGAGTAAACATCCAATCACCATCAAGGTATGATGACTGATGACTATTCTCCAGAAGTCGCAACGAATGAATTTCCCCGTCATGAGGATAGATTATCGACAAGCGACTAAATCTAAAGAAGAATCATTCCCAAGGTCGGTATGGCCGGATGGGAGGGTGAAGCTCGGCAAGAGCTCACCGTTGTTCGTACCGGTAAAGAAGCGACTGCGATCGACGTGAAGCTCACCGTCAACAATCAAGCTCCATTCGAGAGAGGGTAAGGAATTCTCTGCCGCATTCCACAAGACTCGTGGGAATGTTCGACCTTGCATCCGGAATTTTCGAGCGGGCACCTAGCGCGATTCGAGCCCGAGATGATGCTTTGCAGGAATGAAATTCCCGTCATGGCCGAGCTCAAGCATTTCTTGACGTCTCTCATGGAGCCCACTCGCCTAGCTCTCCGAATCTTTCTCCCCAACTTCGTGACTTTCGGAGGCGTCACGGACGTTCATTCGGCCTCCAACTACAAACCCGAAATCAAGAACTCAACGAACGGAGTTGATATAATTGTACGTTCTCGAAATGGATTGCGATGGCCCGACTTGAATCCTTCTAGTGCCGGCCGGGAATTTTCCGAGCTGGGGGACGTTATTGTGACTCTTATCCTCGACAAAATATTACAGTTCCCGAAACTTCTGTTCGCTGATGAAATACGCGTGAATATGACTCTGGTGTCAGATCCCGAAAACAGACGCGGATACGGAACCGGCGTCATCGAAGCGACATCCCCCTACCGGGTGGAATGCGAATACACTCCGAGGAAAGACCGGAGTCCTGAAGCCTTCTGCTCAGACCAACACGCGCTGACTTACAAAGTCAATTCGGAAGGTCAGTTTGGTGGAAGTGCAGAATTAGATAACCGAATCTCCAGAGACCGAACTTGAGGAATTATCTTCCCGTAGAATGCGTCCTGAACCTCGGCCTAGAGGACGGCACGATCAAGGACTGTCAGATAACTGCCTCGTCAGCGTCCGATTCACAACATGCTCCGTTCCACGTCCGGAAAGGAGGACCGTCAGGTATGTGGAATCCCCGCGGGAACTTGCGTCGATCCTGCGTTCTGAGCGTGATGGGAGACAGCGATTTTCGATCTCTCATTCATTTCATGAGGCACTTGGGACGCGAATGTACAGATTCGGTTACTTCTCTCGGGAGGTCTCTGATTCAGGCTTTTGGTTCTCAGCTTGGTCTCCGGCCATCAAAGAGGGCATGGACGACGCATATCTGGACATCGCATTTCTCAGAGTCACTCGGGTGTCTCAACTCGAAATGTTCTATGTTCCCGGAACTCGGAGAGTTCATAAGTACAGACTCCAGGCCAGCAATGACGGAAGGAACTGGTGGGATCACTTGACGGTGCGTTTAAGGTCTCTCGGGCGTACAGATCGATCGCGAGCGTATTCGCGCAAATGTACAGCAGGAGCTCCGCAGGAGGTTTGATGATCGTACTTTTCTGCTGTAGACTCGAACTCTGTCCTACGAAAACGGAGTGGCGAAGGATCGATTGCCGCTCGCTGTGCAGGCGCGTCATCTTCGAATAATCGTCGTCGAAGCCGCCGACGAGCATGTCAAGGACGACTTGAATCTCGGCATGCAACTGGAGCTTTACGGATGTTACATCGGAAGTTTCTCTGAAGACGGTAAGTGACTTCCATCTCATTGGACTTGAACTCTCTCCAAGCATAAATGCAGAGAAATTCGAGATGATCGTTCGAGATGGCGACTCCTCGCCGAGCTCCGACTCGATCCATTCCATCTGCCGAAAGATGCATGAGGAACTGAGGTTCCGCTCCATTTTGCAGAGAACTGTCAAATCGACACAACCTGGTACTCCAATATCGAATGTGAGTTTTGACAAGAGGATCTATGGGTGATCACTTATTTTTTCGCGAACCTTTCCTTTCTAGTCTCCGATAGTCGATAGTCTCTTGAATATTCGTTCCTTCGTTTCAGCGATGAGAGCCCGCCATGTTGCTGTGGACACGAACACGGACACCGCATATTTCTGCGACTTCAGCGATTCGAGGTGAGCGCCATAGAAATATTAGTGTTCGTCCAGCCGATCGCGGAGGATCGATGGTGTTTTTTTCGTGAAGAATTCATGCGGTCAGAATTCGTCGAATGCTCGTACAGCGGAACTCTGGACGCTCTAGAATGCTCAGGGCTTCGGTAGAATCTCTGAGGACATCTATGCATTCGACCCCTCCTTTCCAGTGGGAAAAACTGTCTTTCGTCGTCGGATGGCGGAGCTACTTGGAAATGTGAGCTAGAAAGTCTGACCATACGAAGCCCGATTCGTCGAGCATCATTCGAAACTCGATCATTAACATGCTCCGTCCGATTCCAGTGCAACCCGCCTTCGTCGGCCGTCTGATCGGATTTGATCAGACCAAAGGAGTCGTCTACGCTCAAGACAGGATGACTAACGGCTCATATTTCGCGACGAAGGATGGCATCAAATGGATGTCAGTCAGCGAAAAGGAGGTCTGTGATTATTTCTCCGCGACGCGTGCGGGAGCTCACGAGATCGCTGTGCGGCGGGGATAAAAATTCGTCCTTTTTTAGGTGAATCCTTCATCACTCGCCAAATCCGTGATCATCCCAGGAATCGGGAGGAAATCCCTCCTCGGGAAAGAGGAGTTCAATTTCGGAAAATGGAAAGGTGAGTCCTGAGTTTGAAGATCAATGACAGCAGGCTTCTCATCGACGAGCATCGCTCTCATCGACGATTTGTTCCCAGCAACCTTCGACGGCATGTTCTTCAACGACGGAGAATCTCCAGCTGCTCGATGGGGATCGTGTTGTGCTCCGAAAGGAGGAGGCACCACGCTACCCCCGACCACAGAGGACTACACAACTGTCGATTCGGCTCGGAAGTGATAATAGTGTTGTTGCTAGAGCGAGGGAGAGATCAAAGCTGTCAGCAGGAAGAGAATTCGAGTTTCTTTCAAGCGAGGGAATCTCGAACCATAAAGACCAGGCAGACAGCAACCTGGGAAGAGGCTCTGAGCCGACTAACGAGGATCCGGAGGAGTTGAGGAACGAATCAGGGTCAGAGTGTAAGAGCGGGAGTTCCCTCGGATTAGTTTGGCGAAGCGGCGAAGCGCTCGGATAGGGATTTCCGGAGAAAGGGACCCTTTCGGCGTGTAGCCCGATGTTAGCGAGTTAATAAAACATCCTTGAGCATAGAACGAGCTTCCATTTATGTCTCCTATCATGCAAGAGATACAAACGCTTCGCCGGAGCTCTGTTTTTCCTAACTTCGACGGACCAGTTATCAAGACGAGCACGAGAAGGCAGAGTAATCATCCTGGAATGAGCGCGCGAAGGTTATCGAGGAGACTGATCGGCTCGAATAGGAGAATAGCCCGCTCCAAATCTCTAAATTAGCTAACACCTTGTAGACTTGGTGTCCGTTTCGAAACGCTCCGTGCGAGCACTGCTGCTGCTCAACAGGTGGGAAGGGCCCGGCCTCACCTCCCGTTGGCTAATGGCCCTGATGCTGAAGCATACCTTCCGGCAGGAGGTTGCGTCGTATTTCAACCCGGTCTCCTTTCCCAAAACTCAGATACCTAGTTGACCCCCTCCCCGAAAGAAACGTCTGGATAGGGTCCCTGATCCCCTAAGAATCCTCGGTCACTATCCCCCATCTAGTCTACTCGGATAGCTTCTTTACAGCAGTAGGCCCAGACTGCACAAGTAAATGCGGCAATATGCAAATACATATCTCCAGAGCGGAATTTTATTTACATACAAGGTCGATGCACTGCATCGCGCCACGGTGATCGAGGCATATCAGGGGCACCGGTCCTGTACGTGCACGCTCCGAGCACGATGAGCTGTGATCTGTGATTTCAAGGTAGGCTAAAGGTTGTGATGAAAGCCTGATTTCACGCTCACATTTCCATGAGACTAGATATAGGCAACCCACAACACGATAGCATGCTCGAGGAATTTGAATGAAGGGCATTCATTTCCATAGATACAAGTGATTGCTCGCTCCTCTGTCGTGTGGTACCGCAAGCTGATGAAAAATCTCATTCAGTACAAGAGGCTCGCGGTACTCAGCCGTCCTGGACATCAGGAGGATTTCTGCGAACTTTGATGGCTCTCGATTGATGATGCAGAGTGCTCTCCAAAATGAACTGTGTCGAGCGTATTGATCATCGGACAATAGAAGATCAAGCGGCGGCTCGAGCACGGAGTATATGACCTCGATGTTGGGAACGCATTCTGATCGATGCTGATCCACGCATCAATGCCTCCATTCTTTATGGAGCCACACAGACAGAGTTCCAGGACTGCTTGGTTTCGAACTTACCGGCGGCATAGACCCTACCCACGAACGGCTTGCCGTGCAGTCCAATTTGACCGAAGTTTGAACGGCCCGAGGAACTCTGACCCTACCTAGTCACACGTCATGGGACAGGACGCCCGTGAAGGCTTTCCGTCGAGACAACGGAACAGAGTTGCATGGATCCCGGCGCTACGCGGATGTCGTCCTGGAGTGCTCCATGTCTGGCACAAGAAACAACAAGCCGGATTATCCACAAATCGACCGTGCCAGGTGGACGAGGACTTTCCAAGGTCCCAAGGCAAAACGGCTCGGTCACGGTTAATGTTGACGTCACAAAAGTCGACTCCGAGGTTTTCGACGTGATCATTTACATGGATATCCGAAGGTCTCCTGATAGTGTCTCTTCGATAAGCAGCTCAGTCGACGATGATGAGCCTTGAATAGTTGCCATGAGCATTGGCGTCACTACTGAAGGGCAGGAAGGGCGAAGAACGCCGTTTTCGGAGGGCAGTCCAAAAACAGCAAATCTCCATTATTGCGGTGCCATACCTTTGTTGAACCCGCTATCTTGCCGAATATCATGCGCTCCGTTACATCTAGTGACCTATCTATGTCCATTGCGGGTGCGGATGGGAGCAGACGGAGGAGATTTTGAGGGAAACTCCACACAAGCCCACGATCCCTCGCCAATCTGCAGATTTCCAGCAAAAAGTCTCGGGATTGCAAATCGTTTTATTCTGAAGCTCATGAAATCTCCGACAACTCTGCGTTCCGAAAGGGGAGTACGGTCGGTCGTATGAGGTTGGATCCGAGAAGTAATAACTCAACGTGTCAAGTTTTCCAGAAAGGGGTTTTTCATTAACACAGATATAAATCACGCTTCCAGACATGCCTCGAGTGACAGGAGATATCTCCGCCCTCTGGACGGCGCAGCTTCCGAGAGCTGCGAACATTAGCTCACTTCCGTCGCGCTCTTCGCGAGATCCCCTTCGAGCCGAGCATGCAAATTATAGGAAGCCCCAGAGCTCAGAGTTTTTGGGAAGGTCAATCGTGATCGCCAAACACTTCTTTGAAACACATCTTGGTCTCCATGAAGGCATCTTTATCGGTTTGACTCTTGGTCTCAAGGAAACTATCGACTTTATCGTGGAAGCACTTCCCGAAAGCTTTACGCCTCGCGAGAAGCTCAGTGATGCCCTCGGTCTGCGTGCCTGGAATGAGTTTGAGAATTATTCCCTCAATTTCTATAGAAATATTATTTACCGTCATTTTAGCCTGCTTCGCTGTCTGCGATCTCTCTTTCTCTCCCTGGGCAAAGCTGAATCATCAGGGCGAGGCAGACCAGGGACGGAGATCAGGAACCGAAATTACCGCATTCGGCTCCCGACGGGAACATAATCTCTAGGAATTTTTCCACGGTGTCCTCCCCGGCTTTCTGCGCTATGGGTTCCAGGCAACCTTTGGCCGCGGTGAAGGCTCCCTGAAAACGTCATTTCCCCGAGTTCAGGTCCGGCAAATAAGGAACCAGCGTCACGTCAGGTGAGTTCACGTCGCAGAGAAGATGGATCCTCATCCTTTGACAATGATATACCACCCTTTGACGGAATCACGACATCGATCGAGAACGAGAGAAGGCTCTAACTAACTCTAAACATCTCCAACTTCTTCGGATCTTTGATGACTGCCGGCAGAATTTTCAAGGCCATGTCAAGCATCCGATCAACCGTCGCCATGCTGAGAGCGACAAAGCACACAAGGAAGAGAGAGGTTCTCAAAAGCATGTTATCACGAACAAATAATTCACTCTGGCGACAGGAAGTATTCCGAGCGACAGTCGATCGTTTTATCGGGCTTCTGACCCCGAGTAGAGTGGCATGGTTTCCTATTTTTCACTCGATCAGAATGTCAACTTCATGCTAATGTTTGAGAATCAATTCACTTCGCTGAACATCGAAGTTCTGCTAATCAATTGAATGGGCATTTGTCAACAATCGAAGCCAGACTGCGCGGTTGGCTCGCCCTTGATGGAGTCGAGCGAAATCGCTCGGATAGACGTGGAATTGAATTTCCTAAGTCTCCATCGATATGACCTGAAATCGGCGGCCGCTCTGAGTCTGAGTGAGAGGACTTTGAAAGTTTGATCCGTTCGGAAACCTGAGAGAGGTTTTCCTCCTCCCTCTCAACAGAGCGGAGACCGCCGTTAGTATAGCACGTCGACAATTGTCCGCCGTTGTTTGGATCTGTACTTAGGCGTTCCAGTGGTTCGAGTAGTGACGTATGCAAAACTAGGCTTCAAGGCGGAAACTCGGGAGAACTCTCAACAATGGTGATCCCTCCTTGTTTGATATAAGCTCAAAATTTTTCATGCTAGCCTCCCCTCAATTTCGTATTTGGCCATTGAAGAGGTCATCGAGTTGTCGAGCCTCATTTTATGCGCGTCTTAACAGAAAAGTTATATCGCGAAATGAGGTCGCTCACAATTTCGAGATTCACAAATGTTCGATTCAAAACCTGCTGTGTGGTGGGGAAGCAGGACGGAAAGAGCCTGCCAATCGTTTCGTACCCCCAACTCACACTCTTGAGAGTCTGAGCCCGTTTCCGGTCACGAACTCACTGCGTCGCCGTTCATTCTGTATCCCCCTTACCCTCATAGAATCTTAGAACCTTAGAATAACGCAGTAATGTCGGTCCGTCACCGAACCAAAAATCGGACTTATTAGCGTGTGAAAGGACTTCAATTCTCTCGTGACGATGCAGAATCATTTCTGCTAGCGCAAGGAGCAATTTTCCACTCGATCAATCGCGTCATTATCGAGTCATTCCGGAAAATTGGCATGTTTTTCTCCGGTGTTCGCTGGATGTTTCTCCTCTCCACTAGCTCTCCATACATGATACCCCGACCGTTCCGCCAAGGTGTGATTCTAAAGGCGACGCAGCAGCCCTCTAAGCAAGCATGATCGAGGTGATCAGAGGATCCAGAGCGTATCAATGAGTTGCATTCCCTCCAGCCTCAGAAGCTCATCTACTCCCGGAGCGCGCTAGTCAGCATCGCATGAGAGTCATGTTGCCATTCATGGCATCCCGACCGCCCGGGTGTGCGAAACTGCGAGGACCGCTCGCTTCGCATTACCCGATGGGCCGATAGCTCCGAGATCGAACGAAGAGCTCTCCAGAATGTCTTCAAATGATATTACGACTGCTCCGGCGACAATGGCACGGTTCGGATGACGGCGCAGCGGCCTACCGAGCGAGCTTCCCTCAACCCCTACGAAGGGTCGAATCGCCTCGGGATTATGATACGGGGTGATCAGAGGTTCGAGGGTTCCAATGGATTGTATTCCTGCCAGCCTTTTGAGCTTATCGTCTTCCCGAGCTTGCGCGTCAGCATCGCATAGGTTTCATGTTCCTTCGCATTCTATCATGTTATACCGAGCACCCGACTCTGTGAAGTTATGAGGAAAGCTCCCTTCGCGTTCCCGTAAGAATCGCGAGCTACGGAATCGAACGTATTTCTTTCGAAAATCATTCCGCAAGGAGATCATGTCTTCCATAACTCTGTAGTGTATCCGATACACGATGCCCATATTTTTCACCTGTTTTCATTTTTCCTGCTCCAAGGCAGCGATGGGAGAGTCTGACTCTGCATCCATGTATATTTCCGAGCTCCGACCGGAGCTCTTCCGTTTCCGCCGCGAACGACTTCGACAAAAAGAACTTCGAGACTCACAACTCTCGGCAAACTTGCTCGGGGCTTCGAGAGCATCGCATCCGGTTGGCGGGCAATTTAGCCGAGAGGGTTCATTGCGCTCCGCGCCCTCACGGCTAGTCATCAATACGTTGATTGTCCGTTGTTTGAACGACGGCAAACCTCGATACTGGGAAGTCAGATCGGGTTTCTTCCGTTCTGGATCACGGAGTGTTACTGACAATGAAACGAGCACATCGACTTTCCAGGAGAAGCGCCGCGTTGATCTGACCATGATCTCCGCGGAGACCGACTTCCAGGAAACGGACGACGCGGGTTTCGACGCAGCTGGTAACGCGGCCGGCTTGTTGTTGAAAGTTCTCCGATCTCTCGATAGGAACACCACAGGACCGATCAGTGACGAAGCACTCGCGGTAATCAGAGCTTGCCTCATCACTATCGTCCGGGGTATCATCCTGATAATCTACATAGAAGTCAAATCAGTCGCCTTCAAAACAACGATCTCCGCTTTCAGTACGCGAACAGGTTATTGGAGGAACTAACAGCCGAGATCAAGATGGTCAGTCCAGAAGATGAGAACTGGAAAGCCTGCCGCAACTTGGAGAGAGTCCGGGAGTTCGGAACCTCGAAATTGGCACAGCTTCAGAGGAGATTGAGGGCGAAGGAAAGGGTCGACAGGCAGAGGTTTGCGTCCTGAGTCCTTGGCAGGGCCAAGATTCTGGCAAAATACACAAATTGTGAGAATGTTCCTAGGTAGAGCTGGACATACCTTGTTCGAGGCAAATCACTCGGAACATCCGAATACGACTGCGAACCACATTGGTAGTGGATGACCAGGAGGCGCATCGGATCACATCCGCGCAGGACTATCGTCGTCAGGATCGAGAGAGTCTTCTCGATCTTACTCATTGTCAGTCTGATTCTCGAAATAGAGGACATAGAGATTATTGGATTGGATTTTTCTCGCTCACCGCAAGAGCTTCGGGCGGTGCATGGCTGATTCTTCGAACACCTACCCGCGATCCCGATTGAAAATGAATTCCGAATAAAATACGTGCCGGAATAATTCAAGGTTCGTACTTTCCTTACCAGCTCGTTTCTCGGTAGAGGCTAGCAATGTGTTACCTCAAACAGCGTAGGATACTTCGACTTCCCTTCGAAGCCTCATGGAGCTCAAAATCAGTCGAGTGACCGAGTTGCACAATCAAGCGGGGAAACAGAGCGTGACTGACGAGAAGGACGAGCGGCTCGCGAGGGCCCCAAAACTATCACTTCCGTTCTAATCAGTCACCTATTGGCTCTCGGGGGTGTAACAGCGAATAAAGACTGGGCAACGGGCTCGGCATATACGGCGTTACATTTCGACGTCCACATCGCCACCTCGGAAGGTGATTCAAGTCGGACTGATGCAAATTCTTAGCTCTCCCTCCACATTTTGTGGATATCGTATCTTTACAGCTAGGCATCTCCGCTTCCACTGAACATCTCGTGCGTTACTCACGTTTTCTATGGTTGACCGCCGAGTGGGGACACGATTGAATCGTGGTCGAAGACCGAAGTCTAGAACCGGTGGTCACCCGGTTTAGGGAGGGAAACGCCCGTGCCCCTCAAATTGAATCGATGTTTCCCCGTTTTCCGCGGAGGGAAATCCTTCGAGGAACCGGTCTCGACGAAGAAAATCTGACCTCTCTCACCGATAAGGCAGTTTTCGGGAACCCCGATCACCAAGCTCATCTTTGAGCTGGGTGGATTGGATAGCGTGCGGCCTCCTGATCTCCACGAAACCGAGACGTTGCGTTGCACGGAGATGCCCCCTTTTCTCGGTCGATGATCGAGCGAGGAGCGCTCCGCTGATCATCGTCCCAATTCATCATCAAGGTTAGAGATCTTATCTTTTGGAGCTCGGATTGGGAACGTGCGCGGATTCCCGGGAAAATCTCAAGGAATCGCTTCCCGGAAAATCTCAGCAGATGAACTTGCTAGATGCCCATTTACGAAGTCAATGGAGGGGTTGGAAATATCGAGGAATCATCCTGCGATGCGCCGCTCTCGGAATCCCTCAAATCGACATCGTTGATATCGTCAATCGATGCAGATGGTATGGTAAGAAGCCGTCATCGGATGCTCCAGTTGAGGGCATTATGGAGTCTAGCTTTCTCGCAATCTTCAATGATTTGTCCAAAGAAGCTCAGACTCCCGATCCACCATAGGGGTCGACTCCCTGGGAAGCGCCCTGCATCGCCGCCTATCCTAAAAGCTGAGATGACGGAGCAGACTGTTCTCCGGAAATATGACACGGGGTTCATAGAGGAGTGCTGGACTATTCTGCCATGAAATTCTCCCTCCGGCCAACTCTCGAGTCCCCCGTTAAATCTGCGAACGAGTGCTCAAACGAACAAGTTCCCACGTCTCGAGCCTAGCTCGGAGCCCCTTGGCGACTCGTTGTTGATTCCATGAGCATGACTTAGGGCATGGATCGGACTTAGTCCCCGCCCGACTGCGAAGGGTCCAACACTTCCGCCAAGCGCTAGCCCAAGCGGAATCCCGACACACTGTCGATTCTCCGTGGGAGCTCATCTGCGCGGCCGTTGGTCATTGCCGCCTAGTCTCGACACTGCGACGAGTCCAGGAAATGCAGGAGGCAGCCCAACCGAAGTCTCTGTGTCGAAGTGCTTGCGAATCTCTCGGTATTGCGTCAGCTTTGAGAATATTGTGCATCTTCGGTCTCGTCTGAACCTGAGCGCCGAATCCGCTAGCGACTCCCCCCCTCCGGGGCCATGACCTCGCCTCTCGTGGATCAAAACGATGCGTGCTCCTATTCCATGGAGCCACCATGGGAGGGCGGTTGTTAGCCCTCACGGAAGGGGGGGGGTTAGACCCGGTTGCATTGAGAACCTGTAAGAACCTTTGTGAGTGCTAGACGATCCTTTGTCGCCCGGTGAAATGCCACCAACATCTCGAGACTGAACGACCTTTCT